AGATGCTCAGCATGATGGCCTGCAAGGGAGAAGTGTCACGGGGCTCTATTCACCCCACAGCCTTGCCCTGCCCTATGCAGGGCCCAGCCCAGCCCAGCCCTGCCCCTCACAGCCACCACCAGCCCATCATGCAGCAGCTCTACCTGTGGGCTGGTGATGGTGACCCACTGTAGCCGGTCCTTGCTCATCAGGTACTCAAAAGCCAACTCCAGCTTCACCTCTGACTTCCCTGGGCTGCTCCCCGAAGGGCCATTGTTCATCGGCACCTGCAAGGACACACACCAAGGCTGGGAGCCTCCAGAGGGGAAGGAGCAGCTCCCCAGACAAGGGCAGCACCAAGCCAAGTGTGGGACACCTGCCCAGTGCCACCAGTCTTCTGCCACTGTCAGGTCCCCTCCAATGTCCTCACACCAATGATCCCCGGAGCCCCAAGGCATGATCCAGACCCTCTCCAGGCCTACTGGGCCAGAAGCTGGCGTCAGAGCCAGCACCTCTCCAGGAAGGGGTGCCAGCCCAGCCTGGCACAGCCGGGTCTCTCCAGCCCCCCCAGAGCCCTCCCCGCTCTCCAGGTGTCACTCACCGAGGACGTGACCCGCCAGCACCGCATGCGTGTGACCTTGAAGCTGCCCTCCTTGATCTGCTCGTTCGGCAGCCGCACCTGGAAGTTGAGCTCGTTGTTGCCGGCGCTGACGACGACGTGGCAGCCCTTCTCGGGGAAGTCGGTGACACAGGGGTCGAACTTGAGATAGCCGTAGTACTTGAGGGTCTGCGCCAGGCGGATGAACTGCAGGCAGGGCCAGGGGTGCTCAGCACTGCCGCCCGCCCGGGCCAGGAACGGGCCACCAACCCGGTACCACGCGTCACGTGGAGAGGGGCTGGTCAGAGCCAGAACTGCCCCAGCTGTGGCACTGTGCCCTGTCCTACCTCCTTCTTGGAGACCTTTTCTTGCAGGGACTTCAGCTGCCGGTGCTGTTCCTTGTTGACAAGGATCCATCCGTGTTCAATGTCTGACACCGTCTACAAGCAGCAGAGGTTGGTGAGCGCCTGGGACCGGAGCCCCCCAAGCCCCTGCACAGCTGTGGCCAAGGGTGCAGTGTCTGTCCTCACCTGGCTGTGCCACACCAGCCCTCACCTGTGCATACAGCAAGTTCAACCCCACACGATGCTCCATCACATCGTCGTCATAGGCCGAGTCCCAGTAGCTGGAAGGGAACACACGGGTTAGCCTGCTCCCCACCTCCTGACAGCAGTGAGGAGAAAATCACCCTCCTGTGGGCTGGCCAGCTCCCCCTAACCATCAGTCATCGTGCCCTGCTCCCCATCTAAACCGGCTGCCATGAGAAGGCAGAAATGAGCTGAGCACAGCAGGGCAGCCCATGCTCCAGTGTCATGGTCAGGGATTCTCGGGTGTGTTCCTGGGGGCCAAAGCATCTGTGAGCAGCAATGGCAGGAGGGCAGGGTCCCTCTGTGGAACAGGGAGCCCTGGGGAGCACCCCACTGCTGCCCCACAGCCCCGCTCACCTCTTGCGCAGGATGATCTGGAACTCGGGGTTGTGCAGGCTGGTGACCGACACGTAGGGCAGCTCAAACTCCTGCAGCTTCCGCACAACTGCGGGGAAACGCCGGCTCGGCAGCAGCTCTGGGCAGCAGGAGCCCCTAGGCCCCCAACACCAGGGTGCCCCGAGGAAAACAGCTGGGCCCCCCACCCAGGGTAGGGTCCAAGCACACAGCCCTCACTCCAGGCAAGGGGCAGAGCAGATGTCCCACCACAGTGGGCTCTACTCACAGGAGAAAGCTCCATCCTTGGTCTCTCTCACTAGAAAGAGGCTGAAGTAGCCAACCAGGTCATCTGGCAGATCCAGTTTGGAGGCCACAGCCTGGGAGGAAGAGCAGGATAGTCCCGATATAATCCCTACATGACCCAGCCCATGTGCATTCTGGGGCCTCCCAACAGAAGGAAGGCAGCACCCCTGCTGCCCTGTGGCCAGGCCTGGGCTCCCTGCAGCCAGGAAACAGCTAGGGGACCCCAAACATCAGTCTGGACCCAGACACACCCTGCAGCACACGCATTTCAGCTCCCAGCTTTCAGCCCCACCAAGCCAACCCTGCTCCAGGGTGGGCAGATGGCAGGGGAGGGCAGGGGGCTACCAGGCTGAGAGAGCCCCACACACGTGGGAAACCCCAGAAGGCAGCAGGAGGGGCTGGTCCCACCCAGCACGAGAGCTCTGGCACCTCCAAGACATCCTCGGTCTGGTCCGACGTAAGGATGGTGACCTTGACCTTCTGCCCGTTAGAGAGCAGCACTTCCAGCACCACCTCCTCTGTGGGGATCTGCTGCGTCTCCTGCAGACAGAAACCGGACTGGTACCCCAGCCCCTCAGCAGACTGGGGGCCCAGACCCGCCACAGCTGTGCCCCTCACCTGCTGGGCCTTGCGCAGGAAGCTGTTGAAGGTCTCGCTGCCGCCCAGCGTTGGGTCCTGCCGCACTGCAGGAAGGGCACGAGCAGTCAGGCGTCCCTCGGGAAGGGGCAGGAACCCACACCGGTGCCTGGCCCTTCTGCAGCCCCCCAGCTCGCCCTCAGACTGTGTGCTGGGCCAGCCAGGGACCCTCCTGCACAGCCCCACTCTGCCAGGGCAGGGCAGGGGCTGGGACAGGAGCTGGCACCCGGGGGAAAGCCCATCAAAGCAGTGCTCCACTGGGAGGTGCAAGATGCAGCCAGGGAATGAATGGAGCAGGGCAGGAGGAAGCCAAGGGCCGTGCCCTGCACAAGCGGGCCGGGCAGGCCCAGCTTACCAGCCTGCATGTACTTCTCCAGCTGCTCCCGGCGCTGCTCTACCTCTGCTGGGGTGAGCGTGAAGATCTTCTTTGGGGGAAAGGCTGGGACCACGTTGGCACCATACTCCTTCCTTAACTAGGACAGGAACAGAGCGCTGCAGGAGCCTCCCGAGAGACGGTGGCTGCCCTGATCCCCCATGCTTGCTGATCCCACGGACCCAGCAAGGGGAGCAGAGAGCTTCCAGCACGCCTCATGCACGTGGGAGCCCAGATGGAGTGCCCCGGTGTCCCCCTACCTGCTCGTGCAGGCCCAGGAGCTGGCTGTAGCGCACCCGGCAGTGCAGCACCCCGTTCACGTGGATGTTGTAGGCCTGCAGGGAGAGAGGCCGCTCAGAGCCAGCACCTGCCAGGTGCAGGAATCCCAGGACCTGCCCAGGATGCACCCAGGAAAAAGCAATATTCCTGAGGACCCTGCCAAGGGCAGGTGGTCAGAATGGTTCAGGGAGTACGAGCACATCCAAGAGTTGTGCCCGCTGACAGCAGGAAGGTCTATCCCTGTCTGCCCAGCCGTGGGGAGCACAGAGCCACGCCGCAGCCCCGCAGACACGCGTGTCCCCGTGCCACCAGACAAGGACAGCCCTCCCCACTCCCAGGGCTCCACAAGGAGCAGGTCCCTGGCCAAGCCCCCTCTGCTCTGGCTCAGCTCCTGCTGATCCACAGGCAGAGCAGAGCTGTGACTGCAGAACACACAGGGAACACCACGGTCCAGCTCCCAGCACCTCACCACAGGCAGAGTCCTTGCAAGGGACAGCACTGTTCTCTCAAGTCCTGCCACCCCCACAGCACAGTTTGGGAGGGTGAGAGGATGGGCATGAGCCTCCAGCCAGCCACGGCAGCCCAGCCCAGCCTCCCACGGGTGCTCCCGAGCGCTGGGACTGCCCAGGGCCCGGCAGAGGTCCCAGCCCAGCCAGGCTGGGGCTCACACCGGTACCTCCCCACCCCAAGGCACCAGTGCCTCAGGGCTGCTGCGGGGGAACCAGGAGGGACAGCGGTGGTGGCACAGGCAGCACCCACACCTGCCCAAATCAGGGCTCTCCATCAGGTCACAGCTCCTGCCCAGCCCCGGGCTGCCCAAGGGCTGTCCCCAAGGTCTCCCCCAGGCCTGAGGAGCCTCGGCAGCAGCGGAGGGCAAAGGGCAGGGGGGTCACAAGGACGAAATGCCTCGAGGGCTGCCTGCTCCTGTGGCCCTTGAGCAACTGCAGCTCCTGCGGATCGCCAGGTCTCTCCATCACCGCTCACCACCGCGACCGTGCCCCGCCTCGGGGTCCCGGGGGATCCCCCGGACACGGATTTCGGCACAGGGGGCAAGCGCGGGTCTCGAAGCCGAGGGCTGCCCACCCTTACCCCGAGAGCAGCGGTCCGGCCCCTCCGCCCAGCCTGGGGGCTCTGCCGGCCCCGGGAGCGGGGTCCGGGCACTCGAGAGCCGCCGCCACTCGGCGGCAGCGTCCCCCGGCTCCTCTCCGGAGCCGCTGACGGCGCAGGGACCAAAACAGGAAGCCGGGACAAACGGGCGGACGGGCGGGCCAGGATGAGCCGGAGCTGGGGATGAGACCGGACGGGGCCGCTGCGGGCTGCCCGCCCCCGCCCGCGGCGCCCGGGCAGGGCAGGGTCCGGAGAGCCCCGGGCTGCTCGGGCACCTCCCGCGCCCGATCCGGAGGCGCGGGGGCGGCGGGGCCCGATCCCTGCTCGGCCCTGGCACAGGGCGCCGGGGGGATGGCGGCGGGCCGGGACCTGCCCGCCTCGCCCGGCCCCGGTCCCGGTCCCGGTCCTGATCCCGACCCGCCACCGCGCCGGGGCTGCGGACCCGCACGGCCCCACCGGGGCCGCACCGCACCCGGGCCGAGGAGCCGCGCCACCCACTCGGCTCCGCGGGGCGGCTCCGTTCTGCGGGACAGCTCCGCTCCCTCGGCCCCGCTCACCACGTAGGCGGCGGCGCCGCCGTCCCCGGCGCGGGTCTCGGTCTCGGGAATGGAGAAGTGCATGGCCGGGCCGAGCGGCGCGCCCCCGCTACCCGCCTCCCGCCGCCGCCATCTCGGGCCAGCACTCCCCGCGATGGCGCGGCCGGCAGCACCGCCCGCCCCAGGGCCGTCCCGCTCCGCCCCGCCCGGGGCCGTCGCTCTTCGCCCGCCCCGCT